ATTTCTTCGATTTTTTTTAGATATTATAAGTGCCAGGTTTGGCACAGTCTTTCGAAGCAGTATACTTTTTGGGAGGTAAATTTCGCGCCCTTTTCGCAAGCTTGAGCGCCAGTCAAAGATTTTCTGCGGTGGACAACAAGCGGTTGAGAACTCGTCGCGAATTCCAACTTTTATCGGACACGCAATCTGCTTCGATCCCCGCTCTGCTCGTTGCCGACTGTCTTCACTAAGTCGTCGGGTACCCCCGCTACATCGCAGTCATAGTTTCGACACCAGACAGGAATTTCCGGCCAATCGAGTCTACGTGCACTGCGTCCCGATACATTGAAACCTTGCGACTCCATCCGGGCGTGGAGTGCCACCGTCTCAGCATGCTCTTGGTGAGCGGTGTATTTCTCGAGGCGGGGATGAATACTCGAGCAGAGGCGTCCATCTCAGAGTTATTTTGGAAGTGAAGGTCGATTAAATCAATCCCATACATAGTTTAGAAAACCCGTATACAGTTGGGTAGTGGTGGATGCGGATCGGATGCAAAACGATTCAAACGCTGTTCGAATGGTTGCATAATTGCTCGAACGGATGCAAGACTACCGTCTTACCCCGCATATAAGGCATATGTGCTGTAAATGAATACAACACTGCTTGTGTGTTATATTCGTTTAGAAAGCCTATGTGTTGTACAACGAACAAATTATTTTACTTTGAAGAAGCAAGTTTGTGGGTCCTCGAATCTGGCTTAGCCATGAGTGTTGAGCGACGTAGCTGTAGTATCCACGAGAAACTCGCTGTTCTAGCAGACTATCGGAAAGGCGTGAAAGGTCACGGCTTTGCTGCTCTTAGCAAGAAGCACAGCGTGGCAGTTGAGACCATTCGCGGGTGGCATCAGGAGGGTCAAGCCTAAACGACCATGTAAATTATAAAATAAGAGAATTAAAGCTAGGTAACAGCAGCACCGACAAGTTCGTTCAGAAGGGTCGTTGGTTGGGAGCTCTCAAGAATATTCATTGGTTGGTACAGCCTTGTGTTCTAAGTAGGTTTCAGCCACATGTGTTCTAATTAGGTAGGTGGTCAAATTGAGGTTTAAGCTAGATGTCGAGCGAATCCCGTATTCTATTTAAAACTATATGGGGGGTAAGACGGCAGTCGAACAGATGCAAAACCTAGTTCTTCTTGAACATAATTGCTAGCCAATTATTTCTGTAAGGTTTAATATAACAAAAAAGCAATACCAGTGCAAGTCCCGTCTTCGGCTCAATGCTGCATCTTTTCTATGGGGTCCCTCCAAGTAAGCCTGGATTCCTTCTATGTTGCACGTCACCTAAGCCTTATAGGAAACATAGGCGTTATGGCTCGCCAGAAATTATGTTTGACCCAAAGGAAAGCGTTATTTTAATATCAAATGTCTTTTTGGGAAATGATATTTCTGAATATTTAAAGACTGGCCTCTCCTATTTTATAGAATCCTGATTTGCATTCCGGAAGACGTTGTACCAGATTAAAGAGGGTTTAACTTACTCGCTAACTGAATTGGATTTTCATCTGGATTGAATTGTTCACATAACGCCTAGATATTATAAAAAGTTGCTAATCTGCGTACAGTGATGAACTCGAAGCGACCAAACTTCGTTCTAGTTACCTGTGCTTGAAATTAAAGAAATAATTGTGCTTGACCTCGGGTTTGCTTGCGGTAACCCGGGCTCACGCCTAGCATTTCACTTTGCTAAGCGTTTTAGGCTTGGTGGTTGCTAGAGAGCATTTTCAATACTGTATATTGGCACCAGTGTCAGCTTGACCCGGTCCGAGATTTTACGAGTGATAGAGAAAAAGTGTGTGCGCACGAGGGAAAGAGGGGGAGCATGTTTACAACATTATTTGTCGTATTACGGGTCAGATAATCTGACTTATTTAAGTTATCAGAAAGAGCTAAGGAGATTCTACAAAGGCGCCCCCTTTCAGATCCCAAGTCAAACGAGTCTGGATTCTGAAAAAAGGGCAGTCTAGGATTGAAATGCCTTCAAACGTCCGCGAGATATATGATGACACTACTCCCCTCCCAGGATTGTTGACCACCTTCCGATACCCTATATCGCTTTAAATAGTGTACATCATTTCCATGGTGTCCTGCGAGCCCCCAGCAAAACAAATATTGAATAGCTAGTACAAGTGTACGTGGCATTTGGATAGCACCGGTGTTCAGGATTACTACCACCGCGACGAGTTCTTATGCGGCGACTCAGCCATCTGTTCCTAACTACCCGTCGACTTGCAACCACCCAGCGAGCGGGCTAGTCGAGCGGTTGTCAAGCTGTTCGTTGCGCAAGAGGATATCACGCCAACTTCAGTCCTTCGCTGCATCAATCGGAGCAAAATGCAAGTGAGTTCATTCTTCAATTTCCGACGTCCTGATCCAGTGTCTGTGGGTCAACACGCTTCCAATCAAGCAATTCCAAGTCGAGCAAGATGATGTTCAGCAAGACGGTCTGTGCGCTGTGTGCGGCGGCTGTGGCGCTCTCGGCTAGTGCAGTGGACGCGTCTACCGAGGTGGCGCAGACGTACGGGCGTCTGCACCAGAACCACGACGGGTATGGCAAGACCGACGGCTACGACAAGCGCGACGCATACGGCAATCGGAACGTCTACGGCAAGAACAACGGGTACGGCAAGCGAGACGGGTATGGCCAACAAGACAGTGATGACTCGCTCGATAGCTACGACACGCGTGGGGCGTATGGCAAGCAGAATGGCTATCGCAACAACAACGACTATGGCAAGCGTTACGGGTACGGCGGCGCGGCGGTGGGTATCAACGCCGCCGCGGGGCTCCAAGCTGGCGCAGGTGTGGGTGCCAGAGGCTACGGCAGAGCTGGCGTCGGACTCAATGCGGGTGCTGGCTTAAACACTGGTGCTGGTCTCAACGCTGGAGCGGGACTGAATGCCGGTGCCGGTCTCAAAGCTGTAGCGGGACTGAATGCCGGTGCCGGACTCAGCGCCGGCGCCGGTCTCAAGGCTGGAGCGGGACTCAACGCTGGGGCGGGACTCAAGGCTGGAGCGGGACTCAAAGTCGGTGCCGGTGCCAACGCTGAAGTGGGACTCAACGCAGGCGCCGGTCTCAAGGCTGGAGCGGGACTGAATGCCGGTGCCGGACTCAACGCCGGTGCGGGACTCAAGGCTGGAGCGGGACTCAACGCTGGGGCGGGACTCAAGGCTGGAGCGGGACTCAAAGTCGGTGCCGGTGCCAACGCTGGAGTGGGACTCAACGCAGGCGCCGGTCTCAAGGCTGGAGCGGGACTCAACGCCGGTGCAGCTCTCAAGGCTGGAGCGGGACTGAATGCCGGTGCCGGACTCAACGCCGGTGCGGGACTCAAGGCTGGAGCGGGGCTCAACGCTGGGGCGGGACTCAACGCAGGTGCAGGAGTCAGGACTGGTGCGGGAATCAACGCCGGTGCCGGTCTCAACGCTGGAGCGGGACTCAACGTCGGTGCCGGTCTCAAGGCTGGAGCGGGCCTCAACGCTGGTGCAGATCTTAGCGCTGGTGCGGGACTGAGCGCAGGTGTGGGTGGAAACTCTGCCGGCAAGGCTTACGGAGGATACTCCAAGCCTGGCGCCAACCGCCACTTGCGCGCGTAAATACCCGGATCCTTGGGTTACCGAAGCTGATGAATCTGCACTTGTGGATCGCCATTCGTTGCAACCAACCACACTCGGACGATGCGCCGAGATCTAACTTGCACGAGATACGTGCTCTACGTTTCGTTGTAGTAGCCGTCATGTATATAGGATTAATCTTCGCTGTGTAGGAGGCACTACATTCAAACACGACCCCATTTTGATGTACCCCTCCCTCTTTGTCGAAACGTGTAGCCAATCTCTGACGTTGAAGTGAGCTTTTGTCCTCCATGTTAATCTCTGACGTTGAAGTGAACTTTTGTCTTCCATGTTTTGTGTAGCCATTTTTGGTACTCTCAAAAGTTATCTACAGCACAACTTTTAAGTATGGTTGAGGTGGCGCAGCGCTTAGCTGCTTGTACGGATGCTCTCGCTGTCGCAACGGAGCTACGAACCATTCTGTCGGATCAAGCCACTACTCATGACCGTAGAGCGGCATTGAACGAGGTGGTGGCATTTCTAGCGGCATCAGAGGAGCACTGGACCGTCGCGACGAAGTCGCTATTTGCGGACTTAAGCGGGGACTTATCGGCGCGAGAAGTGCAATTGGAGCTGCTGGACGCGCTGCTTGTCTGGGCGACACAGGAATCGACGGGGGGGAACCACAAAGTCTTAACGATATTGTTCCAGTGTTTCCAACTTGCAGTGACGGGTCTGGGCGACGCTGGAGGTGGGAAAAGATGGCTCAAGTGGGGGGACGAGGTGCTAACTGCGGTGCACCAGAACGCAGCGCTAATAGAGCAGCAGAAGTCTGTGGAGGGCAAAAATGAAGCAGACAGAGGCTGGAGAAGCTACTTGATGAACGTTGCAGCTTTGCTCCTGCAACTACGCAATAAATTGGAAGCAGACGACGATGCCACGCCCGACTTGAAGACTGTGACGTTCGTGTGGAAGGTATGGATAGTATCCGTCAGGGTAGTACAGAAGAGGTCGATTGGTAGTGTAAAGCTGATGCGTTTTTGTTGTGCTGTGAAGAATTTAGCCAAGTTGGCGACAATTTTTGGTCCAATTCTGGCGAGTTCTAGTCCTGGTCCAGAATTCGGTGAGACGGCTGAAGGCAGCGACGATGGAAAATACACAATGAAGTTTGATGTAGATGAGCTCATGGCTGCGGCTGCGCTGTCTGTCGAGCGGAGTGCTGGGCGGCTACTGCGCGTCTTGGATACTACCGAGATTCCGGATCTTGGTGTGCTCAAGTTTCTGAAGCTGCACTGGCGGGCATTTCAGCGCTTAATAACGGCGTTCGCTGACAGTTTAGAGTGCGAGCTGGAGAGTAGCGTCTTAGTCATGGTAAATGTGACGGCGAGTCTGCTTTACGCTCTGCGACACAGTTTACTCCCGAAGACGTCGAAACCAGAGCAAGAGCTGCGAGACATGCTTGAGCAAGGACTGGAATTGACCGAGAAACTGGCGGGTGGTGGCGTAAATGACCTAGCAAAGCAGAGTATCTGTACGTTATTATGGCACCCTGCCAGTGAAATGGTACGCGCAGTGAAGCAGCGTCAACCGGCTGAGATCACAAACATCGACGTTGAGAACTCGATCCAATGGGGACATTTACTCGTACTTACAGCGTTTGCAGGCTTCGGTGGGGGTTCGTCATCGAGTGCGGAGGTACCGTACGATGACTCCGTCAGAGCAGTGGAAGTCTCGCAGTTGTTTGCTCGTTATCGGGAATGTGCACTGAGTGACGCGGTCTCTCGCTCTCTAGAAGCGACGAAACTGTTCACGGATTTGATGCTAGAATTCTTTCTTGGCTTTGATAGCGTTGTGGAACTGCAGCTAGTACTGCTAAAGCAAACGCTGTATCCGGACTGGACGCAGCGTACACTGTGTTGGGAGATCTGGAGGGAATTGCTGTGCTTCAGTTGGGACGAAACACTCGCAGGGCAGACGCTTCAACTGCTTCTCGATATCACGCAGTGGGACGACGACTCGGGTGCATCCTTCGTGCTTGCAAGTGGCGTGGGGGACGAAATCCTGCAGTTGATCGCGTTCGTCTACGCTGATCTTCCTGTATCGCTCAAGGACGTGTGCATGGACCAAGTGACAGCAATTATCGACGTGGTCAGTAGCGAAGGTCCAGGCCACCAGTTCAATCTGCGCGTGGCGTCGCAGCTGCATTTGCTCGAGAAGTTAGTAGCCGTCCAGTTCCTGAAATTGTACGACGGGCCGATGAAAGATGAGTGGATCGCAAAGTATCTTCCCATGTGCTTCGAATGCTGTGGCACCGTTCTTGAGCTTTTATCAGCCGAAGGAAAAACTCCATTAGCCAAGCATGAAGACATTCTCGGAATGATGCGTGTGCTGGACATGTGTCTGATGGTGTTGAGAGGAGTGTTCGATGACAACGAGCCCAAGCAAGATGATATCGCGGAGTTGTCGGTCATTTTAGTTCGCATGTCTACCGAGGCCTTAACACAGCTAGCGAAGCACATGAAACACACAGGAAGCTCTCAATCTGACGTACTACCAGGTAGTAAACGCACAAGTCGAAGCGAAAGACTGGAGAAAACGGGGTCTCGCTGTTTTGGACGGGCGATTGAGACGTCGTTGTATCTACTTTCGAAGCTTGGACCGGTGCTCAAGGCGAACAGAAGCAACCAGTGTGTGCAAGTGATGAAGGATCTACGTACGATTACTGACAACACGCAGGCTGGTGACACGTTGATCGTCACGGCACAGTTTATCGGGGCTTCCTTGTTCGACGTGCAGGTTGCTAGCGGTGACATTCCTATCGTGACGCAGTTGCTGTTCAGTCTATTCCAGAAACTCTTCGCTGCTGCTCCTCGCACTGGTGGCCGTCAGTTAGCGCCGTTGACGTTGCTACTTTCAGTGGGTCTAGATGCCCTGTACGAGCTGCTTGCGCACTCAAACATTGTGGAGCAGTCAGGTGCAGCATTAAGTACGCTTTTGGCTGGAAATCTTAAGCAGTCGTTCGTACAAAGCGTGTCGATGCGGAAACTTAGTCCTGACGATGTTGCCAAGGCGTTGGAGACGGCTCAATCCAGTACACTTCAGTCTCTCAAGAGGAATCAGAGCTCCGGTTACCGTGTCTTTAGGGGTCGATTCCCTGATGAGTCTTCTGAATTGTATGCTGATCCTGAGCAGAGCAGCCACGACTTTTCCAACAAACGATCAGCAGAAGACTCGTCTGAATCACTGCCGCAGAAGCGTCACAAGCTCGACCATTTTGTGTCTTTGTGTCGAGAAATCGAGTCCTCGTTAGCGTCCATTGAGAGCGACGAGGCTGCTGCGAACATATTATCGGGCAAGGAGCTAGAAGACGCCACCGCTGTGCTGCACAAACTGCTCACGAAAACGATAATGTTGTGCTGATCACTACTTTAGTACACGAAAGAGCACAACACGATGGCAGGTACGAGCTGGTCTATTTCTGCAGTAGAGTTGATGTATTTAACACCATCCTGACCATGTGCTGCTCCATCACTAGGTCTATCAAACAATTCCTCAACGATACGTTCGACCGAATCTCTGGAAGAAGCTAGGGTCGATCTTGCCGCGTGCCCGGTCATCGTTCGATTTCTCGCGTTCCGTTGCCAGTTTAGCCTGTCGCTGCTGAGTGGCTCGGACGTCCATTTCCATCTGCGCGCGTCGTTGTTGAGTCAGAAACTCTTCGTGCGCGAGTGTGCGTTGTATCTCACGTTGGGCTCTGGACTCCCCCTCGGCCTGCTCTCGTTCTTGCTGTCTGCGACGGGCGTTTTCCGCCATAATGTCGTCGTTTTGTCGAAGGAAATACTTAGTCTGCTCTCCAGAGAACCCTTTCCAGTGGTCTACTCGGACTCGGTGATCCAAAGACACTCCAGGAAGCGTGGCTTGCAGTGGGTTCTCACTCACGAGATGGCTCTCCAGTGTGAGCTGAATCTCGCGAGCGTTCTCTTCCTGCTCTAGTCGACGACGATCACTCTCGTCCTGACGCTGCAGAGCTAACAGACGCTGGTTGAATCGACTGATCTCTGCCGCCGCCGCTGCTCGGTCACGCTCGTTGCCTCGGTGCAGTTCCTCCATCAGTCGCTCGATCTCGAAGAGCTGTGCCATGTACGCGGCCATATCTGCGTTCTCGTGCGCATTGCGTTGAGCGTCTTCGGCCATTTTCTGAATCGACCACTGCTTCATCTGCATCGCCTGTAAGCGGATACGCTCAAGTCGAGCGAGGTCTTCGCCGTCGAACTTCTGCGCAGCTCCTTGAGCACAAGTGTCGGGGTCAATGCTCACGGCTCGGGTCGCGGCGAACTCTGCACGGGCCTGCTGTATTTTGGCAGTTTGTAGATCCCAGTCGTTGCGCAGTGTCAGGACCTCTCGACGCTTGGACAGTGCGTCTTCCGACTCGACCTGGAGCAAATAGCGTCGGATGGCTGCGTCTTCCTCTTCACTGACGCGTTTGGCGTCGCGATCTGCTTCATTCTGACGTTCTCGTTCCTCGATTTGGTTCTTCACACCGACGATATTCGCCTGGAAAGAACAAACTTCACTTGAGTGTTTGAACGAGCACAACTAGAACCCTGCACACGTACCCCAATGCTACGAAGACGACCAGGCCCCAGTTTCTTGTAACGCTCGATTTCGCGCTGACGTCGAGCCTCGACTCGCAGCTCTTCCTTATCTTCAGGTGCCGATGGCGGCGGCATCGTCCCTACGACCATGGTCAAAGCTCTTCCTGCGGCTGGCGCTGGCCTTCAGTCTCCTGTTTGAGAGTGTTGCTGGGATGCTGCTAGTCTCATTTAGACGTGGTTTCACATTTCGTACGCATCAACAAACCAATTTTTTTTAGCTAACGCCATAATCTACTAAAGAAACTGATCGATCGTATGTAGGATTCAATAATTTTTGTTTATTTTTCTTTTATTTTGCTCGCGTCAATAAGCTTGGGAGTTTTCGTTGTTGGGCTTGTGATAAAATACCTTTGATAAAGCACAGAGAGAGGAACCACCGCTGCCTAACGCGTAAGCACTTCCCTTCCGTTAGTGCCATGCAGGGGGCAAATGAGGTGGTGGATGGAGTGGAAACTGCTTAGACAGCCTCTTCCCGTTTGTCACTGTCATCCTCGAGGTTCTTGAGGTACTCGTCAAGCGTCATTTCACCGCGAATCAGCACAGGCCGCTTGTGACCCAAGATGGCCTCTTCATCCACGTACACGGCACGCACGTCGTTCATGTCGGGCAAATCAAACATCGTCTCCATGAGCGCACGTTCAAAAATGGAGCGGAGTCCTCGCGCACCAGTGTTCTTGCGTAGAGCCGACTCAGCCACGGCCTCAAGGGCTCCTTCCGTTGCGTGGAACTCCACGTCACTTAGCGCAAATAGCGCCTTGTACTGTCGCACCAGACTGTTCTTGGGTTCGTTGAGCACTTGAACCAGCTCATCCTTCGACAGCCCCGTGGTGCTCACAAGCATCGGGAAACGGCCGATAAACTCGGGAATCAACCCGTACGATACGAGATCTTCGGGCTCCGCTTGCGACAGCAGCTGGCCAATCTGATTGCTATCCTTCAGGCGCATGTTGGGCATCTGGGCTCCAAAACCGATAGAAGACCGGGACGTCCGCCGAGTGACCTGCTTCTCCAGTCCGGCGAACGCGCCACCACAAATAAACAGGATGTTTGTCGTGTCGATGGTAATGTGCTCGCCGCGGGGGTTCTTACGTCCGCCCTTCTCGGGCACATTGACCATGCTTCCTTCGAGGATCTTCAGCAGCGCTTGCTGAACGCCCTCGCCCGACACGTCGCGTGTGATACTCACGTTTTCACTCTTACGCGTGATCTTGTCGATTTCGTCAATGTACACAATGCCACGCTGGGTGGCCTCCAGGTTGTAGTTGGCTGCCTGGTACAATTTGAACAGCACCGACTCGACATCTTCGCCCACGTAGCCAGCTTGAGTCAGACACGTCGCGTCGGCGATCACAATCGGAACCTTCGCCAGTCGCGCCAGCGTCTTGGCCAGCAGCGTCTTACCCGACCCCGTAGGTCCCACCAGCATGACGTTAGTCTTGTCCAGCTCCACGCCTTCCAGATACTGCAGTTTGTCCCCCATCGAGTGATGTTGCAGCCTCGTCGCATGGGTGTGCGTCGTCTCCGTCGTCTTCGTAACTTCTGCAGTCTCTTCCGAGGCATGTTGCTTCGATGTCGGCGGCATTTCTGCATCATTCTTATCCGATCCAGAGTAAATTTCCTCCAATAGAAGACGGCGACCAATATTCGACAGCCGCGGGTCGTCCATGTCCACATGCTGGCGCGTTACGCCACCAGCGCGTGGGTGTTGAGAGCTGGCATTGTGCTTGGCACAAGCGGCCTCCGCTTCCTTTCTGGCCTGGAGCAACTCCAGTGCATGCAGCCGCTTGTAGTGGTTGTGCACGCCTACAGCGAGCGTTTTCTTGACCTTATCTTGACCAATAACGTACTCATTCAGTCCTTCGTAGATCTCCCTAGGCGTCAGTACACGGTCCTTGCTGACTGTCGCATCCGCTGCAGAGGGAAAAAGCGCCTCATTGGCCCAATTTCTCGTACTCTCCGTCTGCATTCATACGGACCGCCACGTGAGGGAGACGGGAAAGTTGCCGCTGTATGTGGGTCCACCCAGACTGGAGCCGCGCGTGGTCTGCATGCCTGGAGCTAGCGATGAACTCAAGGAGCTCAGTGCTGCAGCCGCTGCAGCGTTGCGGAAGGTGGGGCTGGGTTGAGCAGGAGGCTGCGCCTTGAGGGCAAAGTGCAGGTTGCAGTTGACGCACTTGACCACGTCACCCTTTTTGAACTCCACGGAGGGAGTTGAAGTGGTTGAAGTGGTAGAAGATGACGTCGCAGGATTTGATGACGTCGCACTGCCTAGAGGCTCTGCGAGTACGAGCGCGGTCCCGCATTGTGGACAGCAGAGCTGGTCGCCTGCCGCTTTCTTCTTGTGGCTGTCGCTTGGGGGGCCTGTGACGACCCCGCGAGTAGCGTAGACAGCAGTAGGAAGACGTTGGAGGCGATAGGGGGTTGTGGACAGCTGTGAGAAGGCGCGGCACGATGCTGGGGCCGAATACAAGCGAGTGGTCTGTAGCATGTGTGAGACGCAGGCGAGAGTTGAGTTGTCGGGGCGGAGGCGACGGAGCATCGTGGGCGCGGTGTATGGAAGTGGCGTGGAGGGAAGAGCGGCGCTGGGACTTCGCGATGCTGGGAGCGAAGAGGCCTCTTTCCAAATGCGGAGCTTGAAGAGGGGAAAACGGAAGCTCAGCGACTAGAATGTGATCAGCCTTAGAAAAAGCAAGTGTGAGCAAAATCTGACACTTGGAGAGCAGCGGTTTATAATTTAAGCAGTCGCTATATTATAATTAAAGTCTCAGCTTACAAAAAAACGCGGGCTCTCCTTGCTACGTGATTTCTTTTCGAGGTGTTTAATATAGGGATGGGTGGTATATCCTGAGCTGTAAGGTTGCGCAGTAGGTACTGTAGCTCCTGAGAGTTGCTGAGCATTTAAGAAGTATTATATTGCATGACAATCATTCATCAGTATCTGCTCTTTAAGCGTACTCCCGGTGTCGACGGCTATTGGCCAAAACTCTAAAGCCATCACAAGAAACGCAGTCGTGTTACCAAAAGATATTGTAGCTGCGTGTCGTGACCGAATCCAACGAGTGCATTCCAGACTTTTTTCTTTAGTTGCCGTGCATCGCTCGTGGATAAATATTTACTGAGTTTTGCTACATCCTACCGGTCGGTATCCTGTTCGATCAAAGCATAGACTGACTGCAGCAACTGTTACCGTTAAAAAAAAACCTTTTAAAGTCCATTTTGGGCTCATGAGCTGGCGTATGATGTAAATACTCAAGTTTGAAATCCTAGGTCGCAAAGACAGCGAAGGCAACCCAGCTGTGGTGATTCCTGCTAGACCTTCTAAACGAAGACCATCCACGCGTTTCTCGAATAAGGCACCTTGCCACTATTATTAATAATAGCTGACTACATAAGCACCAGATTGCGGTGTACTCCTTGCGAATCCAATTGCTTGCAAATTGCAAGCTAAACGACACACATTCCAGTCGTGCACCGCGCAGCTCTCTTTCAGTTTAATCCGTCCCTGTCCGTGTATTCCAAAACCAGCATCCTTATTTCCAATCAAGAAAGGGGGCAATGCTTTCGTGGATTCTATCATGACGACTCATCGACAAGCAATTAGATAAGCGCGTGGTCTGCGTTCTGTCAAACTGCTCGGATTCTCTCGATGTCTGAGCACAACCATTTTATCCTACCCAGCCATGAGGCTACCGATCATCGTAACGTTGCCAGGCTTCGCTTCTATTTGCCATTCTTGAATACGAAGGCCCGCGTATATACGCCCCTGATTTTTCGAAGCTTCTCCTTAAACACAACATATCATCATTGGTAGTGAAATGGACCAGCTTTCCGGGACTCCTACTTATTTTGCAGCGGATACAGTAGGACTGCAGCTCACGAGCAGCTTGTTAATTGGCTACATCTTACCTCTCTAGTGGAGTCTGGTGTCTGTCAGTCCGTCCGCGGCTATTGGCTACATCTTACCCCCCTACTGGAGTCTGGTGTCTGTCTGTCAGTCCGTCCGTAACGGGCTAGGGTTAATTAATGTAACGCAAATATGGGCGTTCTACTGGCTGCCGAGCGCAGCGAAGGCGGCCTCGATTCGCTAAAAAGCTGTCGAGCGCAGCGAATGCGGCCACCATTGGCTAAAATCGGTATTGTGTTTTGTACACACTATATGTGGACTACACATCGTACTTAAAAGCACCGCTTAAATTTTATTTTGCTCTCATTTTCAGCTGCGGTTCGCAAGGCCACGCAAAGGGCGCTGCCTGTGTACGCGTTAGTTAGCATAATTAAAAGGCGCCGATAAGCACACACGTACTATATTGTCGTAGGAGCTGTTGAAAAAAATTGTAGGCTCTGGGGACTTTTATTTCGGCCTCAATCGAAACTTTAGTACTTATTGAATTTAGAATGCTGTTTTAGGCTTCGTAGTACTGCTGTACTAATTTAATTTACAGTATTATTTTTTTAGTACTATTATCAAGGCATTTCATATTTTACTTGCAGTCATTTGTAGTAGTAGTACACATAAAAATTATATCAGCGTTTAATAATAAATAACAATTGTATTACTATTATTAATAATGTGAAAACTTTAAAATATGACTATTGTGGCTTACACCCCTGCACCTCCGTAATAAACTGTTGTCTTCCTTTGTATTTGCGCGCGTAGTGTGCGACCTTCAGATATTATGTGAACTTTCCAACAATATACGTTGTGTACATCAAACAAAATGGGAACAGCGTTTGTGATTAAGTTGGCGCGGATGCACATGTCTAAGCAAGGACACGAAACACGAAGGAATACCGACCTACACTATGTACACGATGGGATAGAAGAGCAACACGAAGCACGGAAGGCCATGGACGATGATAGAAGACTTAGCCGATGCAAACCACGAAGTTTTATAAGTAGCGTGAAAGATGAAAGAGCACGCAGCCATGAAAAGAACAGATGGATAGAACATGACAGGAACGTACGGGCCACGGAAGGGAACTAAATACATAGACACCCCAGCATGCTGAAAAGCACGGGCTACGGAAGAGCACGGACGTTCGAAGCCACGGTAGAACACGTATCGGTGAGAGTGCACAGAAACAATACTCCAACAACACCACGAGTAAACATGGAGCACAGTCACCCGACCAAATCTGAGCCCGCAGGAGTCCAGATACGGAAAATCAGAAATCATCAATTTTTGGAGCACGATGCCTAGGTAGAACATGAGCTCACCGATCCACGGAGCGCGACACTACGGTAGCCTAATGATAACACAGACCACGCGCCAGCCCCCGACACCAG